AAAAAACTGGTTTAAAAAATTTTATATTTTTATTATACTGACTTCTGATTTTTTTCTTAAAACTTACTTTGTGTTTTAATTATTTCATCTTTTTCATTTCAGGTTTATTACATGATAGCCTTTAACTACTGCTTTAGATGTGGGGAAAAAGACCTCTGATATTTTTATTGGCCAGATCTTTTCTTACTATGATTTTTCACTGTCTGACCCATATGTCACACTGAAGTGTATTGATATCTGAATATTGGTTTTAAGTTTTTGACTGCTGATTTACAGGTATATTCTCTAAGATTTTAGTCATCTGAAATACATCAAAACCTGTTTCATGAGCCCTCAGACTATCTTGGCAAAATTTCATGTGCAATAGAAAAATCATGTCCAATGTAATGTTGCATGAATAGTAGATTAAGGAATTCATCCACTCAGACTTCCTGTAGCTTCATACTTAATTACATACTTATTGAGACATGTAATTGTCCAAGAAGGCCTTTTAATCCCCACGGCCTGAGTATCTAGGATTCTAATTATGTGTGGCAGCAACCAGCTAATATTTAAAAGCAAACAAACAAAATTAAAACAATCCGACTGGAGAGATGGCTCAGCGGTGAAGAGCTCTAGCTGCTTTCAGTGGTCCTGGGTTCCATTCCCAGCAACCACATGATGATTCACGGCCATCTAAAACGGGATCTAATACTCTCTTCTGGCATGCAGGCAAATATATATAAAATACATAATCTAAAAATCTATTAATTGCTGAAGCTACCCGTGTTTTCATTAACATAAAAGTTCTGTAGTATTAGAGGTACATAGTTTTCTTTTGATTATGTACCATATCTCATGACTACAATATGCTCTTGGAGAAATAAAACACCATCTGCCTTAAAGTATACCTTATATCCACACTTCACTAACATTTTACAGTGTATTTTTTTTAACATCCATGTTGTATTTAAATTCAGTCTTTTGGGTGTTCAGTTTCACCGTCTCTACCTTGGACTAGAGTGTTTGTATACCTTCAGTTAATACAATTAATGATAAACGTTTATTGGACATCATTGGCATATTCCTCTTGCACGGAAGAAACATTTGTTTTTGTTCTTGTATGTCTTGTTTTTCATTTACTTGTGAGCCAGAGCATAATTGACTAGCCAATTCACTTATTCCATCAAGTGTGTCCTAGAGACTGAACTTGTGCTAGAGGGCATGGAGAAAAGCACCTTTACCCAGTGAGCCACCTCATGGTCCTGTTTTGTATTTCTTGCTAATTTTTGCTGTTTTTCCTTCTCTGCTTTCTGTTGTACCACTTTGATTACACTACAAACTCAAACTGTACCTGCTGGTTTGCTGGCTGCTCTAAGGATTGTGATGAGCATCTTCACCAGACTACTTCAGCATATTAAACCAACAAATCCTGCAGTGCTTTTCCATCTACTATTCCTTTGTTGTTCAATCTCACAATCTCTGCCTTTAACTGAGTGTTTAGAGTGTCTACACTTAATTTTCATTACCACTAGATTTTGTGGACATCTTCGACTTACTAACCCTCTGTATTATGATTTTAGTCAGCAAGCTGATTCTTAAGAGAACGTAGTATCTAGGTAGAATAAAAATGTGGTTTTCTATTTCTGCTCCTTAAACCAGTACACGACATTCTGAGTATTCAAACTGCACATATACAGAGGTTAAGACAGAGAAATAGAGCTTTCACCAAAACATTCAAGAAAATTTATTCAAATTCTGTGCTCAATGGCATTCTACAAGAAGTTACTTAGTTATCTATCTACCGGAAAGCCACCAAGAGTGAGTTGTTCAAACATCTTTGGATCATTCTAATTTAAGAAAAAAAAAAAAACTGAAACATTTTAGGGAGCCCTAAAGTCTGTTCAATTTCCCCCTGCTTTATGACACTTAGTAGAGGTGAACAAAAGCAAGTGTGGAAATAGCATGTGGGGAGTCCCGTGACGTGAGGCCCCAGCAGCACACGTGTCCTTCATAGACACAAGCATTCGAGTTCACCTCCAGAACGTTCTTTACTTTCTGACAGTGAACACAGTGAAATGAGAAAAAAACCTGCCACTTACTAAACATTAACTCTGGAACAGAATAGTAATGTTTCCCATACATCTCATCTTCACAATCAGGAGGCAGGTACTCCCACTTTTCAATTTTCAATTACGGAAACTGAATAAATGACAGCTTCAAAAACTTGCTCAAAGTTAGCAGCAAGGTATCTGGAGCACTGGCCGAGCCGTCACTATGCCTCTGGCTAGAGATCTTTTACACCCTTCCTTAGAAGACGAAAAGAAAAAACATAAGAAGAAACGGCGGGTTCAGAGCCCAAATTCTTACTTCATGGATGTGAAATGTCCAGGCTGATACAAGATTACTACAGTTTTCAGCCATGCTCAGACAGTGGTTCTTTGTGTAGGTTGTTCAACAGTGTTGTTTCAGCCCACAGGAGGAAAAGCCAGGCTCACAGAAGGCTGTTCATTTAGAAGAAAGCAACACTAATCATCTATACAAGTTCCTGAGTTTGAGTTTTTCACAGAAAGCCTTATCAAGTTTAGTGACTCTACCAAGACAATGTAACTGTGTTTGATTTTATAAAGAATACAACAGTGATCTCCTATTTTGGTGTCAGTTTTTCAATAAAGTTTTAATTATAGACAAGTTCAAAAAAAAAAAAAGTTAGCAAGTACCAGAGTTGGGAATCAAATTCCACATGTGTGATTTAGGTCTTTACAAGTCCAGAACCTGCAGAGACCACTCTCCATTCTTATACATTGTCATGTGTGTGTGTGTGTGTGTGTGTGTGTGTGTGTGTGTGTGTGTAAATGGGGAGAGTGCATGGGAAATTTAGGGTAAATCTTGAAATCTTTTGTAACAAGCAAGGAAAGGTTGAGGAATCTAGTTTTACACATGAAAATATTAAGGGATGAAAAAAAAAGTTAAAAAGCTAAAAAAAAAAGTCTATAAAGTCTCAAAAGCAAAGAAATTTGCAGTCATGTTAAAAAAAAACTAAAAGATTTAAAGCAATATAATAGGTATGCTAAGGACTTAACTATGCACTCAGAAAACCACCACCCCTAACCAGCCCAAAGTATTAAGTGTTTTACATCCATTCAGATCAGTACTTAGAAGTACGTAATAAAATATCTAAGAAAAACTGGACACTTATGCTCAACTGACAGTGTAGGCCTTATCAAGTTTCTGCGACTTCTTCCTCCAAAACAGGTCAATAGACTTATGTTAAAGACAACATGTGTATTTAAAGTAGCAATTTTATTTGAGTTAAAATTATTTACAAAAACCCAAAGACATACTTCATGAAACTGGTACAAACTATTTTTTTTCCTGCCGTTGGCTTTTGCTCCAAAGATCACAGCTGAGAAATACTGTATAAAATAAAAATAGGATTGGATTCAGAAAAGTATCCTACTGTTCTAATATCCAACTGGTAGTATTTACAGAAATATTTACAATGGAAAAAAGGTTACCTTAAAACTTTAGTTAATTTGCAAGTCAGCCTCAAGTACCCTAAAATGAGAGTTCTCCGAGGGTTAAAGACACACAAATGCACTGCAGGTGGTCAGGTGGTATCCTCCTCACAACCCACCCCACCAGGACCTGCATCTCTATCAGTGCTTGACAATTAGTTATTATTTTTAAAACAAAACAAAACAAAAACCTGTTAAACACTGAGGTAAATCAATTATCAAATGATTACCAGTGTAACAGAAAAAATGTAATTCGCCCTGATTGATCTCACCCACGTGTTTACTGTTCCTTACTATCTGCCACAATCAAAAATCTGTTCCCAAATCCAATGATTAATAAATATCACTGTATTTTAAAACAATTAAAAATATCTAAGTAGATCTGTGGACATCATTTAGCAGTACGCTGCTTTAAGAAACAGTCTGCTAAATTAGTTTGGTGTTCAGGGCAAACACAGTCTCAATCTTTCCCACATTACACTGGCAAACTGTGTTCTTAAACGGTGATGGGGAGAGGGTCGGGTGGGCAGAAGAAGAAAACAATTTGCCTAGAGTCAGTTACTTCCTTATAGATTTCCCAACAATCTGCATTATCAAAAATAGGAAGACAATAGAAGGCAGCCACTGCATTTAAAAAACATTACAGCTGGCACTGATACAAGAGCCCCGGTTTGTTACTTTATACAAGGAAATAACAAAGTCTAAAATGAGTCAAAATTAGACTTTTAGCTATTTTCCCCAATACACACCAAACTAATATTTTTATGGCTTCAAGTTTTACAAATCCAATGAAGAAACATGATGTAACTATATGAAAAGTAATTAAAAGTATTAATGAAACATCTCTGGAAAGCCTTGCTCAGGCCAATCAATGAAAAAGAGGGAAAAAACCACAACCAGTGGTCTGAACAAAACAAAGCAAAATCTATAAAATTAAACCTATAAACCATGTTCTGTGTGTTCCACAACTGCTTTTTAAACAACTGTTCTATGAACAAAGAATCTGAGTAAAAAAGGGTCTTCTCTACACCAGCAATTTTAAGGCTTTGCGCTTATGCAATTGATCCTGTCACTCTATAGAAGAATATACACGCTATCTGGAAAAACGAATTCCACATTGGTGTTTTAGCTTCCTTATATTTACTGTACTGAACATTAGAAAATATATCTAGAGAACTTCCCTCAAAACGTAACAATGTTTCAAGAGCCTCTCTAGCATTAAGTGTAAACTACCCTGGGTTTGTCTATTTTTGCTTAATCCTGTAACAGGGCACATTATCTTATATAATATAATATTCCCCAAACTGCTACTTGTTTTCTTGTGCCTATAGCTATGACACGTTATGGTATGATATTGAATATGGTCATGGTCTCAGAAGTGAAAAATAGTTCAACACCCAAACCTAATCAAGAATAAAAAAATATACTATTAATCCCTTGTGTCTTTGGATTCCATCTAATTTTAAATATAGACAGTAGTTCAGGGAACAACAACAAAAAAAATTCACAAAATTATTAAAAGCTTTATTTACGATTGGAATCATTCAACAAAAAGCAAAAGCAAATGAGCCTGAAAAAGGAACTAAGCTGTTGTCTAGAATGTCCTCAGAACATTCAATACCTCAGTAGCTAAGCTGCCTTTGCACCTGACTGGCATGACAACAGTGGCTCAACATACACAGCAGTTGCACTAACAGCAGCACAAGTTTTCTCCTTTAAACCTTGCCCAAAATAAAGCAAGGCAACTAGGGGAGGGTATAGACTCTGCCAAGTAAGTGTATTTAAATACTGCATGGGATTGTTACAGCCTGAACCTTTTCCCTCATTTTTGATAGCTGCAGATTGATGTAGTAACTGTCATTTAGCAAATGCAGAATGCATGATGAAGAAATCGGGTGGTCATAAAAATCCAAACACGAATGATACTGATGAATGTTCTTGGTATATCTTCAAGGACTTCTTTCATGACTTTTCTTTGTCTAAGGATAGCTCCAGCATTACCAAGCACCTGAAGCAAAGGTAAAGCAGCTAGCAATGTTCCAAATACTCGATCACTCTAGAGATAGACTTCTGGCCTGTTGTTCCAACAGCACACTAAAAGGGGAAAGAAGGAAATGATGGTTATAATAACATACATTAGATTAGCCAGGTCCCACTATTAACACCTATTAATTTTAGTACTTGAAAGGCTGAACAGGAGGAGGATTGTTGGCTGGGAATACAGTGTAAGATTTTTGTCAGAAAAAAAAATAATAATAATAAAAACTCATATAAACTGCAATACACAATAGATGTTACTTACAGTAAGATTCATGAAGCTTAAGAATTTTTTAAGCATCTCTGTCATTATGGAGAAATCTCCTTCGGGAAGGTATTCCCTCACTGTAGTTACATTGATCTGAGGAAAAAGATAAAAACCAGTCAGTCAGTTAGCAGAAAAAGATACTATAACCCACTCAATGCTGTTGGCCTGCTATATATCTTGTGGTAAACATCTGAAAGAACCTGAGAACTCCTGGGTTACTCCCATTCCACACTCAATTAACTATGTGCAAGAACATTCGGGTTCATCTCCCCACTCTATACCACCCCACCCACAGGAAGAAAGGGTAAAAGGGCAAACTAACAAAAGCTACAAAGGAATATCTGTGAATATTTATTTTTGGAAATGCAAAGAGAAATATCTGAAATAAACTGAACCGTCAAATGTGTAAACAGATTATAGCCACAGAGCTGTTTATAAAACAGATCTACAAAGATAAATTAGAAGAATTAACTATTCTTTATATACATTGTTTGTGATAAATTATGGGCCAGTTCCCGGAGAGGTGTTTCCCTTGGTTATTAGCAAAAAGCTAAAATAAATATAAACAATCCTGTAAGAGGAAACTATTACATATTCTAATTTAAAACTTCCATTTCATTGTTTAAAAATGCTTAATTTAGCTCAATAGTGGGAGCTCAGCAGCAGGAGGCAGAGGCAGGCAGATCTCTGAGTTTAAACTCTTAAACAGAGACTACAGAGAAGGCTCAGCAGTTAAAAACACTGTCTGTTTTTCCAGAAAACCTGGGCTTCACTCCCAGCACCCATACAGTGGCTCATAATTGTCTGTAACTCCAGTTCCACTGATCTGGCCTCCAAGCACCAGGCACATATATGATGCATAGACATATATGTAGACTGTGCTGGTTAGTTTTCCATCAACTTGCCACAAACTAGAGTCATCTTGAAAGAGAAAACAGCAATTGAGAATTGCTTCCAGCAGACTGACCGGTAGACAAGTCTATGGGGTATTTTCTTGAATGATGACTGATAGGGCAGGGCCCAACCCAAGCATGGGCAGCATCACCCCTAGTCAGGTGGTCTTGAGTTGTTTAAGAAAGAAAACTGAGCAAGCCAGTAAGCAGCATTCCTTTATGGCTTCTGCCGATTTCCCTTCATGGAGAACTGTAAGCTGTAAGATGAAATATACCCTTTCATCCCCAAGTTATTTTGGTCATGGTGTTTTACAATAGAAAGAAAACTACAATACAGGTGAAATATTCATCCACATAAAAAAATATTTTTTAAAATATTTATTTATTTATTATGTATACAATACTCTGTGTGTATATCTGCAGGCCAGAAGAGGGCACCAGACCTCATTACAGATGGTTGTGAGCCACCATGTGGTTGCCGGGAATTGAACTCAGGACCTTTAGAAGAGCAGGCAATGCTCTTAACCACTGAGCCATCTCTCCAGCCCCATAAAAAAAATATTTTAAAGTAAAAAACACAAATAGTATCAATCACTACATTTAAACAGCCTCCAAAATGGCTGTGGCAACTCTGAAGGATTGTTCAATAAAAAGTATACCTCTAAAATAATAAATAGCTCCTATGATGGGGATGAAAGCCCTTCATTAGTTCAAATCCTTCTTTACCGACGCACTATAGAACTAAACATTTATAGTGGTTATGGGAAGGACAGTTACAACATTTATAGTACTAGCAGTACAAAAGGAACACAGCACGGACTATTTGAAAAACTTAATAGCTGGGAGCTGGAGAGGTGGCTCAGAGTCTAAGAGCACTGGCAGCTCTTCCAGAGGTCCTGAGTTCAATTCCCAGCAACCACGTAGTGGCTCACAACCATCTGGCATGAGATCTGGTGTCCTTTTCTGGAATGGAGGTGTACACGCAGGAGCACTGTATGCTTAAGAAATAAAGTTAAAAACAAAAAAAAAAAATTAATAACTATCCAAGACGGAGGCGGGGTTTGGTAACTGAAGAGCCAGGTTTAAAAAGTAGTGGGCTTTTAAAGTAGTAAGCAAATCCATCATTCCATTGCTGTTGACAAACCAAAGACAGAAGTTAGACGATTAGCAAGAGCTCTGAAAAAAATCTAGATCTTGTGGCACTGTGCAAGAGTCAAAAGAATGGAAAGGGGCAAGAACAGCCAAGAGCAGTGAGGAGACTCACCACTGCCAAGTACCAGGTGCAAACTGGTAGTCAGAGTGGTCAACAGAAAATGAGACCAGACTTTATTGGGCTTCTTGATTATGGGGGCCACAGAACACAGGCAGTTCTTACTGTACACGACTGCTTGTTTGCTTTATCTCTTCTACTTCCACAATGGGAAAAGCCAATTCACTTCATATTAATGGTAGCATCTTGTTTTTTAATTATAAAAATCACCAAGGAAACATATATACATATACAATCACATCAGTGGTTCTAAGAATACACAATATTGTCTACAAATTCAGAACCTTCTTTTTAGGAACAAGAAAGTTATTGACACCCATAATGATGGCCACGTATCAGACTAACAGAACTTCGAGATCTACTATTCAATACAGTTATTACAATACTGTCCTAATATGTTTTATCATGGCAACTGGAAAAGAAATTAAGGTAACTATGAGCTTTCACTTTATCCACCTGTGCCACATATTTCAAATGGAACACTCATAATGACTCCAAGATCGAATTGACAAGGTATTTTTATTGTTCATATTTCTATTTCCAATGACAACAAACCTCCACTTCTGTGAAACAGCCTAATTATATAGACACTTGTATTTCTCATAGGTAACTCCTGATCCACTAATAGTAACCCCATTTTCCTAGTCTGAAATAGGTTCAGATGGAAGCATGTGGCCCAATGTTCAACCAGAGAGATGCTATGAAGTCTAAGAATAATCTCTTAAAAAGAAAATGAGGAGGAGGAGGTTCTGTTAGATATTATTACACTAAATGGGACATTTGGTATGGTCACCTTTTCGCCCCCTGCCCCCCAAAATAGGGTTTCTCTGTAACTTTGGAACCTGTTCTGGAACTCACTCTATAGACCAGGCTGGCCTAGAACTCAGAGATCCACCTGCCTCTGCCTCCCAAGTGCTGGGATTAATGGCATGTGCCACCACTGTCCAGCTAGGAATGGTCATCTTATGGCCATGGCAAGTGTTTTCTACACACTTAAAAATATTTTATTTTTATTTAGCCAAGTGGTGGTGGCTGGCGTACACCTTTAATCATAGCACCCAAGTTGCAGAAGTAGACAGATTTCTGTGAGGCCAGTCTGGTCTACAGAGCAAGTGAGTACCAGGACAGCTAAAGCTGTTCCACTGTTCCATAGAGAAACCGTGTCTCAAAAAATAAAACAAAATTTATTTTGATGATTTTTAATTAGGTATATTATGTGTTCATGTGGGTTTGTGCAGAGTACAGGTGCTAGAGGAGGTCAGAGGTGTTAGAGACCTTGGAGGTGGACTGTTAAGACACCTCACATAGGTGCTAAGAACTAAATTTCCAGTCCTCTGAAAAGCAGCAAGTGCTCTTAACACCTGAGCCACCTCTTTTAACCAAGAAAAAGGACAACAAAACATGTGTGGGAGAAGTTACCCCTCCTGAGTCACTAAAATGGGCCAAATCTGACTTGGCCAGCTGAGCCCAGGTTTTACACTAGTCCTTCTTTTACTTCAACTACAGCAGGGACTCATTTATCCATACCCAGAACTCTGCTATCTCTAATGCATTCTTAGTTCAGAATGTAAGCTTCAATAAATATTTTAAAGCCTTTAACATCCCACATAATTTTAACTTCTAGTATGCAAACCTTCCTTTTTTATGACATTAAGAGCATTCCCATTAGGTTGGTTTCCTTGTTTGTTTGTTTGTTTTATGTCTGTTTTGAGGTTCTAAGCCCAGGCTGGCCTCAAACTCACTACTTAGAATGATCTTTACCTTCTTGATCCTCCTGCCTTCATCTCCCAAGTACTGGGATTGCAGGCATACACGGCCATGACCAGTTTAGGTAGCACTAGGGACTACATCAGGGCTTCATGTATACTAAGCAAGCACTTTAGTAACTGAGCTTTATCTTGAGCCCACTAGCTTGCTTTTTAATATCTTAAAGAGTTCCACTCTGATAAGAATATATCAGTTTTTAAAAGAGCAACAAGACTCTATCTCAAATCTTACTATGAAAGCCTGTATTAGAAAGGAAATAAAGATGTTCATTGTATTAAAAATAATTTAAGGGAAACCACTAGAAAGTTAGACATATCCTTGGCATTTTCTTTCATGGGGAATTAAATAAAATTGTTTAAATAAACTTATGATCAGCCAAAACATCTTCTGAAATAAAAAGTATGTATGAACGGGGAAACTTTTTTCAAGTAAATAAATGCATCAGGTAATGGCATGAAGCTGTTAAAAACAATCTTTTAAAGATACATAAAACATTTCTGAACTATTTACTTACAGGACTTTCCTGGCAGAGACACCCAAGAAGCAGGGCTGTGTAGGAGGCCACGATGCAATCCTCCATGTGTTTGCCAGCATGTTGAAGGGCTGAGAACAGTTGAACAAGGAATTTTAATCACTGTACCAACTTCAACTACTGTTATCACCTTAAAAGCTACTATATGAACTTAGTACCCCAAATTAATAATAACTAACTCAAAATGAATAGGGACCCAAATATAAGAAATAAACTCTAACAAACTTAAGGACACAACTAACAAAGTGGAAGTACGCAATCATTTATCTCGTAAGATGTTCAGGATATATAAAGAATTCTTTCAATTTAATAGCAACAAGACCTGACTAAAAACTAGGCAAGAGAACTAATACACTATTTCTTCAAAGACACAAAAAGACCATAAACATTCCAAATAATGTCTTTAGACAGCTGCAAATGAATCAAAAACTTTTCCATCAACCAAAATAGCTAAGAACAACTTCAAGATAATCTTTTGAAGGTATAAATAACCTTGAACCCTCATAAAATGCCCCCAATACATCTAATTGAAATAAGTTTCTTAAAGTAAAAAAAAAAAAATTGTATGATGATTCTTTTTACATGAAATGCCTGAAATAGGTAAATCATTGGAGAGACTAAGTAGATCGACTGTTGCCAGTGGCTAGAGGAGGAGGAAATGGAGATGTTTGACTGCCAAATGATATACAGTTACTTTAGGGCTAAAGAAAACATATTCAATATTACATAATTGGAATGAATACACAATTCTGTAAACATACTAAGCTATTGCATTACTCACTTTAAAAGAGTAATATTACAGTACATGAGTTATATCTCAATAAGCAGTTCTTTTTTAACAAGACTCTAAAACAAAATTATTATCATAATATGCACAAAACTATCAAGACTTATCTGGATTGACCCGCAAGCCTCCAAGTAAGAGACAAATCCTAGTAGCTAAGTTTCTTGGAAGCAAAATTTTCTTAAGAGTATCAGAATTTAGGGGAGGAGTAGCCTAATAGAAAGAGAAGAGGCTCAGCATAAGTCTCCTAAGTAGAAAATGTTGGACATACTACATTTCAAAACCTTAGCTGGGAGGTAGTGGTACACGCCTTTAATCCCAGTGTGCAGAAGGCAGAGGAAGGGTAATCTCTAAGGTCATCCTGGTCTACAGACAGTCCCAGGACAGCCAGGGTTACTCAGAGAAACCCTGTCTGGAAAGACGAAACAATAATAAAAAACAAAACCTTAGGGGCACAGTTACAAATAGCTATTTTGCAGAATTTGTATATAAAGCAAGTATCATAATTCCTGGAAATAGTAGATAGTTAACAAATAATTCATTAGTAAAAACAGTGCCTCTGGCTTGGTATATATTCCTCTTCTTTACCTAGTAAATTCTGAGAACTTTGTAAATTTTGACAAAATACCTCAGTTTAAGGTAAGGCTGAAAAAAAGAAATATGAGAAATCCATCCCCTCCCCCTTAGATATATAGTCTCATATAACCAATGATGGTCTGCAACTCATGTTCCTTTGGTCTCAGCCTATCAAGGGCTGGAATTACAGATGTGCACTATCATGGCCAGTTCAGCTGCTACTCTTTAGAGAGTAAAGGAGGGAAGGATCAAGAAAGAAAGGTGACCAAACTCCCAATGAGAACACCATGCTCATTGATCGGAAGAATTATTCTAAGTAATGAAATACCAAAGCTTAACTAGACATACTATAAAGACATTGTTAAATTATAACACTATGTGAATCAAAATGGTTCGAAGAAGAACAATATTCTCATTGTGAAAATACTACTACTCAAGATAAACATGCCTTTATTGAGGTCAAGTTCTTCGTCATCCTCCTCCTTCTTATGTTTTTCCTCTGTACCATCAGTCTTTTCAGTTGACACCCACTGTATTTCTCCACTTGTTTCTTGCCATTCTCCACTCTTATCATGCTGAGTGGTGGGAGCATCTTTGATCAACTCATCCGTTTTACTCTCTGCCAACTGGGCTGCACGCTCTCGTTCAAGAAATAGCTAATAAGAATTGTTTTTGAAAATCATTAAAAAGGCATCAGTAAATTAGTCAATCTTAAGGTCAGCACTAAATACATATGAGTAATACTACATGATTTCAAATGATTGTATTTATAAACACACACCAAATATAAAGAAGTGGGAGGGAACTGCGAGGCACTGGAGAAAAAAGAGGGACGGAAAATCTTAAAAAATTAATCAAGTACCAACATGTACATATTCTAATATTTTGCTCTAAATAAGAATATCTTATTTTTAAAAAAGCTTGTTCTATATTTTACCAAAAGACAAAACTAAAGTATAAATGCTGCTGAAATCTAAGTAATCTAGTTTATGTAATCTAGTTCCAATAATGAAACTCAATAATTGTCCTTAATCTAGGGAATTCTACCTAAAAATTTTAAAAAAACTACCATTTTTTTTAAATTAAAAGAAAAATCAACAAACCTATGCATATTAGATAAATTAGCCAGCAGGAAAGACAATAATTAACTACACTAGGAAAAGCAACATGACTTCTTTAAAAGAAATTAAAAGACTTAAACAATTAGAAAATATAAACGGTCCCAGGAAGAACTAGATCTTAAGCATTATTGGCATTTCTATCATTGAAAGTATGTAAGGCAGACTATTAGTAGTTTACTATTTATTATGTATTTCATACAGTCAAGAGAAGTCACCAAATTCCTTGCCTTTAATTACTCTATTTTCCTTTTGTTGTTATTGTATTGAACACAAAAAGCACTTAATATACCCACTCACACCATTTAAGAACTACCACAGGTTACTAATGAAAATTACCTAAATATCAAATACTAAACAGACCTTAAAAGATGTGTTAAATAAACAGACTCTGAATACAACATGCGTAAGATAATGACCTAGAAAAACGTAAGAGCAGTTCTCAAAACCAGTCCAAGAACCCCAGAGGTCCTAGGGACCATGTCAGGAATCTGGAAGCTGAAGACTGAAGAGGTCAGCTGACTTTTCATTTTATGAGTGGACAGAATTTACCTAATATGCAATTGTGTTGTCACTGCTTCTCACCTGTACTAATGCCTGAACGGCATGAACTTGTCCAGCTAGCCTTAAACTCTGATCTCCTTCTCCACTAGAGAAGGAGGAATCGAAAGAACAGGATGTTTCCATGTTGACAAGGCAGTGTCGATTCCGGGCACTATACTCCACCAAATTTATCAGTAGACCCAATCCCTATAATATATTAAAAAATAAAAAATAAAATTATTACAAACAAGAACTTAATGAATATATATATATATATATAAGCTTTTATTGTCAAATAAAATGTTAAACAGAATTCTTTCATTTGCAAACCTGTTAAAAAAAAAACACTGTGTAAGACACTGCTCTTTACAAAGAAAGATTCTTTCACCTGGTTTGGGTGGGCAGCAGAAGAACTGTTTAGATGCTTTCTATAGTCTAGGCTGGCCTTGGCCTTGACTCATAGCCCTCTTCTTACTCCACCATCCAAAGTGCTAGGGTTATAGACACAAGCCACACTTAGCTCCTCAGTTATTAACCACCATTTTCAGTTTAAACCTCTATTTTTATGAAGGAGGTTTCATTTATTTATTAAGAATACAGTATTCTGCCTGCATGTACACCTGCAGGCCAGAAAAAGACACCAAATCTCATCACATGTTGTAAGCAACCATGTGATTGCTGGGAATTGAACTCAGGACCTCTGGAAGAGAAGTCAGTACTCTTAACCTATAAGCCATCTCTCTCCAGCCCTATGAAGGAAGTTTTGTAAAACAGAAATATATGGAGAAGTATGTTCATGAGGATCCATCAAAAAACCCAGAATCTCAGAACCTCTGGAAGAGTAGTCAGTGCTCTGAGTCATCTCTCTAACCCAGCCCAGAATATATTAAACAACTGATTACTTTTTTTTTGAGACAAGGTTTTCCTGTAGCTTTGGAGCCTGTCCTGGAACTAACTCTTGTAGACCATGCTGTTTTAGAACTCATACAGATATACCTGCCTCTGCGTCCTGAGTGCTGGAATTAAAGGCGTGCACCAACACCGAACAGCAAACTGATTCTTAATCCAAACTAAAACAAAGGCTCCTCGTCTAAAGATAAGATAAAATACCAAGTGGCACTTCAACTCACCAGCACCCGAATGTCAAATCTCTGCTCCTGAGGTAGGTACTGTGGGACCTGAAGGACACAGCTCATCGCTGTGCCTATGAGTCCATCTTGTTCTCCTGTCTTCGTGCTGCCCCACTCTGAAATAAACATAGAAACAAAAACTTTCCTTATGACACCAATAACCACATTTAAAAGGCTTTTCTTTGTTGGTTTTAGTTTTCTTTTCCCGAGTTTTACTGTGTAATACTAAGCAGCCCACGTTGGCCTCTATCTCATGGCACACCTCTTGCCTTAGCCTCCCCCAAAGCTAGGATTACAGGTATGCACACCATACCCAGTTATTAAAATAAGTATTAATTTTGCTGGGCAGTGGTGGCGCACACCCTTAATCCCAGCACTTGGGAGGCAGAGGCAGGCAGATCTCTGTGAGTTCGAGGTCAGCCTGGTCTACAAGAAAGAGCTAGTTCCAGGACAGGCTCTAAAACTACAGCGAAACCCTGTCTCGAAAAATTTTTTTAAAAAAGTATTAATTTTAAATTGTATTTCACTCCTTTACTGAAATATGTGGTTTTAATATTTCAAGGTTTATTTACTAGACAGTTCTAAAAGAAACAATTCCTAAAAGTAGCTTATGACTATGGAAGTAAGTCAATTATATAATGGAATATTGTAAATTATTACATCAAATACAGAATAGCTTATTTCCATGTGCAATATATAATTTTTCAATAAGAAAATATTACTTACCATTATCATTAGTTAAATTGAGCAACACCCCAATGATAGCCCTCATGCAGTCCTCCACTGCTTTGCCCACATGGTTAGTTACATTCTGGTAAGGCAGAGGTTTACTGTCTGCTATGCATATGCTGTTCTCAGCGCGGTTATACTGCTGGATCAGTTCTTCACAATGCTGTAATGCTCTTAAGAGAAAATAAAATGCATACTATAAACAGTCAAGGTTTTTTGGTTTTGTTGTTTTTCTATTTTGGAATTTATGTTACCATACGCCAGATAATCTCACTAATTGTTAAATTTTGATAAACTTTCTAAAGAAAATGAAAAGTTCATTCCATGATGAGCACGATGGTTCAGGTCTATAGTCCCCATACAGAGGGGGTTGACGCAGAAGGATTGCTTCAGTCCAGGAGTGAGATCCCGTTTCAAATCAAACAACTACCACCACCACCACAACAAGAAAATCTCACAAGAAAAAACTCCTGTTACTTGCAGGAGCTGTCATATTTTATTCCTATCTCAAACACAAAATACTTCACAATGCACACTCACCCCACCCCCACAAAAGCCTTTAAGAAACAATGACAGGCCTGTCTCAGTTTTACTCAAAGAATGTTTTAGCAAGTAGAGCATCATATATGAAATAAACTACTCAGTGAAGATAAGTATTATTAAATGCTTGATATACATTAAGGCAAATCATTAGTTTTAATTGTAGATTATTCAAATTAACAGGTCTCCTGGCAGATATACCTAGTAAGTCCCGAGACTGGACACATACTAACAAGGACACGTAATATGTATACAGGTCTATTTCTAAAGACTATCTGTAATTTGTATTTGTTATTATTACTATGTGTGTATGATGTGTATGGGGGTGAAGGTATCACATCACTCATGTGGGGATCAACTTTGTGGAGTCAATGTGCTCCTTCCACCTCTGCATGGGTTCTGCGCATTAAACAAAGATCAAGTCTATACTCCCAAGCACCTTTACGTGCTGAGTCATCCACTCCAGCCATCCAAAGCCTCTTTAAACCATCAAATCCATTAGTTGTTTTCCCCCAAGTCTGACATATATTAAATAAGCTGATTTTGTCAATTTAATTTTTCAAGAATTGCATACCATACAAAGCCCTTAAAGAAAAATGTAGCATATTTAATCTATTCCTGGTTCCTTCTTAATACATGATTTCTAATATTCTACAATTCTTGGTTAGGAAGATGTTCTTATAAGGTCAAACCCAAATAACTTGTTCTTCTGATGTTTGAGGATATTGACAGAATTTCCCTGTTGTCATTAGTAGCTCAACTGTCTGTCTTAGTATTACTGAGAATCTATGATGGTTTCCAGGTAAGTGCTACTTCCCATTTAATTCTGACTTTCATCATCTCTTCTAAAGATGAAAATCCTACACAAGAGATGAAGTCTGTCATACTAAACATTTCCTTACAAAGGCAATTCTCAGAGATTAGTCCCTTTTGGGGGCGGGGGAGTTCAAGACAGGGTTTCTCTGTAGCTTTGGAGTCTGTCCTGGAACTCACTCGGTAGACCAGGCTGGCCTCACAGTCAGAGATCTGTCTGTCTCTGCTTCCCAGGTGCTGGGATTAAAGGCATGTACCACCACTACCCAGCAGAAAGGTCTTTTAAAATCAGAAATATAATTTTTGTTAATCAAAACAAACAAACAAAAGCAAACAAAACAGCGACTTGGACTGAATGATAAGAGTACTTGCCTGGTATATGTGAAAGTATAGGTTCAATCCCTGCTATTACACAACAACAAACCCATCAACAAAGCACAACTACCAAATAAAATGGAATCAAAAAAGATTTAACTTTCAAGAAAATTCCTTGGTAAGGAAGAATCACATGTATTAAGGATAATAATGTCCTATAAAACTCATAAAACAGGCTATGAAAATGATACAAGATAGTATTCAAGCTGAGGTTACCACACCATTCTGACCACATTTCTCTCCAATTAAGAGGTTAAAACAGCTACACTGGACCATTCACATTCAAACATTTGTACTTTTCATAAGGAAATTCACAAAGAAAATAAAGGGTCATATAGAATTGCAATTTAAGATTAATTTTTCAAAGCAGAGACCCAGAGAAAGTTAAATCCCAGTGGCATAATGCTTGCTAAGATCAAGGCCAGAGAACTAGGGCAGAGATGGCAAAAACTAGGACAGCGATACCAACAAGCTGCTGTAATAAGACAGAACCAGGACTAGAGACACAGAAGCACTGAGGTGACAGCACTAGCCTAATTGTGATGAAGGGTAGACAAGGAAAGATGATACAAAAAGATCTGGAAAATGAAATATAAATAAAAGGCAGAAATGGTGTTACAATCCACTTCGAACAAAAGGACTAACATATTTATGATTCACTATATGCTAAGCAATGTTCTAGTAGGCCTTACAAATAGAACTTGACTCATTAACACATATTGTACATATACCTTTAAATGTCTTATCAAGCATTTGTTATATAGATATATATGATATACCTTGGGAAAATATATCTATGACATATGTTAAGATATATTTACCTGATTGTGAAAACTACACTAGTAGCTAGGTACAATTCTTCCTTCCCCATAAGAACTTGCAACAACACAATGACTTGTCCAGAATTATAGCTAACATGAAGGAGCTGAAATTCTCACCAAAACTCAAGAATCTGTACTACTAACTTTTGCTCGACAATGTACATATTCACAAATCTAACAGACAACACATTTTAAGGAGGAATAGAATACAACTTTATTTCCTTTGTTAATAAGAGCGTTTATAAAAACTTACTTAGCTGATGAAATAATGAGTTGTGAATCTTTATATGCGATCAAGTAGCTTTGATTCTCTGGATTATGCACTGTTACCTAAAAGGAAAGGATATAAAAAGACTGTGACAACCCACAATTTTCATTTACATAAATAACACCACACTTTATCTGATGCCTTAAAATATATAAAGATGAAATCGATTTTGGCATCTAAGCATGCAACTACTCTAGTTTTGACCCACAGAGTTGTAATTAAAGGTGGGGCTGCAAAACCAACATAGAAATTTCTCAATGTACCAACAACCAAAAACGAATTAAAAGCCAAATGCAGAATAAATCCAAAGCGTTTCTAGAAATATTCACCCATGGCTTATTTCATGAATTCACTTGGCTTTAACATGAGCATTTTGCATCATGCCTATTGTCATGCCACAAACTAACAAATGCTTCTCAAACACTTAAGAAACAATTATGTTTTATGCTACAAATTACAATATACACAAAAATTTCTGGCCTTATACAGAGTCATTTGCTTAAACATAACAAAAAATTTTAATGGTATACTAGTTTGATATACACCAAGGAAACCATTCTTAAAATGTATGATGCTCACTTACTGACAATTGGTTGTGAAAAGAGCCCTTGCAACTTTAATTCAGAGAAACAAAGGTACAACTCCAGGGTATATAAAACATCAGGTGGTTATAAGTACATATAATCACAATTAGAAATAATTCCCTCATACAGTTGTTCATACTTACACTCTCTAAAACTCGTAAACATCTCTCTGCTCCCCATAAAGAGGCTACTAGTTTCTCTTCATCCTCATCTCTACTTAAATGATCCACACACTCTTTTACTAGGCAAGAAGAAATGGACAAGTTAGTATATAAAACTTCAATAATTATTCCTTTGCTAACATCAAAATTCACCCACACGCATGCTATGAATATGCTGGAATGTGAACATCATTTTATGCTTGATACTAAGTGCAGTGGTTTTAATGACAATGGCTCTCATAGACTCAAATATTTGGATGCTTGGTCTTTAGGAAGAATTAGGAGGTCTGGGCTTGTCAGAGAAGGTCTATGCTAATGAGGGGCTTTGAGGTTTCAAAAAACCTCAGGCCACTTCCAGCTAGTTCCTCTCTCCCTCCCCTTCTCTACTCAGTACTTATATATATATCTAGATGTGAACTCTAGCTACTCCTCCAGCCCCACATCTACCTGCCTTCATGTTCCCTGCTATGATGGTCATGGTCTTACCCTCTTAAACTGTAAGCCCTCAATAAACTCCTTCTTTTATAAGTTGCCTTCATTACGGTGTCTTCTCTTTGTTGTTGTTTTCGTGAGATTTAGATTTCTCCTGTGTAGCGCTGGCTATCCTAGAACAGGCTCCACAGAACAGACTAGTCTTAAACTCAGAGATCCACCCGCCTCTGCCACCCAAGTGTTGGTACTTAACACGTGTGCCACTGTGTGTATGTGTGTGTATTGTATACAGACCTTTATCTACAATATGATCCAGACCACCCAGAAGTCGGAGCTCTTCTTTAAACCAATCACCTGCTCTCTTGGAAGTGAGGGACAGCAATGTCTCCATAGCTAAATGACCAGTCTAAAAAAAATCAAAAATAATTAATGAATACTGAGGTGATATTGCTTGCTTTTAAGGAAAAAAATTTATTAAAAAGTAATCTAGTTCTTGTTAGTTTCAATATACAATGTCAGAATAGAGGCTCAAATGTGGCATTTTGAATTAAATGATCTATTCTTTACTATAAATAAATATATTGTATTAACCAAAAAGGATGTATAATATACATTTCAAGGAGAAGTATGGGAATGTCGGTGACCCTAAATGTTCAAATTCAACGGTCACTAACTTCAACAGCCTGAAGGTACAAAGTGGTAACAAACAATTTTGGTTTATACTTTTTCTGATTATAGTAAACATGAGCATTTTCCACGGATTTATCAGTGAACCATTTTATTCCTCAAGTTCTCTGCTCACTACTTTTATTTTCCTACAAAGTCTTATCGTACTATGTCTTAAACTGTATTCTTTAGGACTATTTAGCAGCTAGAAAATTCCATGTAGTCAAAACACTATATATTCAAAACCACCACTACATGGTACAACAAATAAGAATCACATTTACTGCTAGGTTAGCATTTTTCTTTGTGAATCTATGGTTTTAAAGCCTAAAGTTACCTTCCAACAGAGTAGTCTAGTTCTTGGTGTAATAAAGGAAGTTTAGCCTAAAAGAAGTAATCAGCAGGATGGGAGGCAGCGATCTAGTTACTGTTCAGCATGCTAACCCCTGGCAACATACCAATCAACTACTCATTTAAAAAAAAAATAAAGAGTCTGGAGAACAATTGGCAAAGACCAGTAAGACTTTTTTGTACAGACACCAACCTGAACCTGAACCTGAACTTACATACTTCAAAAGGGAAAACTTTTCACCTTGGCATGTATTATATTTAAAACTGAATATATACATCATGTACAAAATAAAACAAGACTTACCAATGAGAATCTTAGTATTACCAATTTAGAAAGAGCTAAATACTTTTAAAATTTCTTCAGAAAGAAAATTTATCCTAGGGTAAATACAGAATTAGAATCCAATACAACAAAATCATTGAATTGTGTTCGTTTCTCATTCTAGGTTCTCCAAGAAATAATTTAATGACCAAATTTATTAGTTTATGAATCTTAACAATGATGCCAAGGCCTAATGCTATAATCTTTAAGTACAGTATAAAAAAATTTGTATTAATAAAAACTATTTATTTTAGGTTATATATAGCACATGATTAAGCTACTATTCAAATAGTCTATAGTTTTAAGCATTTTTATTTGAAAACTAAAACAATCATCTAAAGCAAAATTACTAATAAGACTTCTGTTAACTGTTTGCATTCAGTTATCTACTGTTTAAATCTCTATTACTACTGTTATCTTATGCCTTATCAACAAAACATATATATATATATATATATATAAATAAAAGATAAATTTTTTTAATTTTATGAGCTCTTTTGGGGGGGGCAGTGAAGACAGGGCTTCAAGCTGGCTTTGAACTCAGAGATCCACCTGCCTCTGCCTCTCAGATGCCAGGATAAAAGTGTGCATCATCATACCTGGCTATAAATTTTATTATTTTAAAAAAATTAATCAAAAACCTTTAAAATAGTCAGGCAATGGTGGTGCATGCCATTAATCCCAGCACTCAGGAGGCAGAGGCAGGTGGATCTCTGAGTTCAAGGCCAGTCTGGTCTACAAAGGGAGTTCCAGGACAGGGTGGTGGTTACACATAGAAATCCTGTCTCAAAACAGAAACAAAAAAACAAACCCCACTTTGAAATATACAAAAACAGGGGGCTGGAGAAATGACTCAGAGCTTAAGAGCACTGACTGCTCTTCCAGAGGTCTGGAGTTCAATTCCTAGCAACCACATGGTGGCTCAGAGCCATCTGGAATGATATCTGGTGCTCTCTTCTGGCACGCAAGCATACATGGAAGGAATGTTGTATACATAATAAATAAATAAATCTTTAAAAAAAAATACAAAAACATCACACAAGAAAATTAAGCCAGATCCAAACTGGTGTAGGAGGTTCTTCTGTATTTGTGTTGCTTTCATTGGTCAAATAAAGAAACTGCCTTTGCTTTTTTATAGGGCAGTACTTAGATAGGCAGGAAGACAGAACTGAATTCTGGGAAGAAGAAAGCAGAAACAGGCAGACGCCATGGTTAGACCAGATGAACGCTGGTTAGACTCATGCCGGTAAGCCACAGTCAAGTGGCAATACACATTAATGGAGATGGGTTAAACTAATATGTGAGAGTTAGCCAATAAGAGACTAGAGATAATGGGCTAGGCAGTGTTTAAATGAATACAATTTCTGTGTGGTTATTTTGGGAGTTAAGCTAGCCTGGTGGCAGGACGCAACCAGCTTCCTCTTACTACACAAACAATATAACAAACATAACCAGTGTTTGCAACTATTCTTTAAATAATTAAAGCAACTTTTTTGTTGTTTGGGTTTTTCAAGACAGTTTCTCTGTAGCTTTGGAGGCTGTCCTGGAACTAGCTCTTGTAGACCCACCTGCCTCTGCCTCCCAAGTGCTGGGATTAAAGGTGTGCACCACCACTACCCGGCTTTAAACAAAGCAACTTTTAAGCCTACTGTACAATTTAAAAACTACATTTACGAACATAGGTGACACTGAGTTGAAGGATCAAAGGCACCCTAACATAGTCCTGTTTTCTGGTTTCAACTATGTAAATTATTTAAAATAGTGTGAGCATTTTTAATGCTGATATTTATTTACCTAACAAACCAAACGAAAGGTCAAATTCATTTTTTATAAAATTATCATTTAACAGCAAATATTTCAAACTAAAATGCTGAATGGAAGACAAAAAAGATCAGCAAACAAAAATTATAGGTTCAATTTAAATTAATTTTTCCTCGCTTGTTTTGGCAGTACATATACTAAAATTGGAACAATACAGAGAAGATTAGCATGGCCTTTGTGCAAGGATGACATGCAAATTCATGAAGTGTTTCATATTTTCTTTTATCCAAACAATTAAAATGAGAAGAAATAATAAAAAAATAATTTTTCTTTTATGACTAAATAAAATTCCACATCTCTATATAGGCCACATTTTTATTTATTCATCTGTTCTTGGCGATCTAGGCTAGGTCTATCTCTTGGCTATCAACAGTGCAGCAGTAGACAGACACACAAGTATTTCTGTGGTTGACTGAGAGTTGTACCTCTCAGTGTTGAGAGTGTTCCATTAAAACAAAGAATGGAAGAAAATACCATGATGAAGCCCATACTTTGAATATAAATTTAATAATTACTCTTAAAAATTGGAAGTAAAATTGTGGAGTGAATAAAAATTACTGGTTTTAAATGTATAATACTGTCCTACTTCCAAACCAAACTATAGGCAATACAAAGACTGCAGTGATTTTCCACTTCTGAGTTTTGAACCTAACCTGTGTTTAAAATTGGCTGGCTTTCCTCTATTTGCTTACCTTTTCCAGAACCCACGAACCCCTTAGTGAGTATAGTATAATTAAACAGACAGTCTTCGGTCACTGAGGCTAGCATAAGAGTCTAAATTTTTCCAGCAAATGTTGCAGTCCTTTCAGTTAAGTACACAATAGAAAAAAGAAGTTTTATCTTATAAAATCAAGTTGTACAACAATTATCTTTTCTCCTCTCTTCAAAACCACAGGTCAATTATCTTACTGGTCTTGTACCCATTAGACTATCATCATCTATTGAGGAATTGTGCTCAGAATAAAGGTACAAACTGTCCATAACCCTACAGTGAGTAGGGACATTGCTCCATAAAGGGCACGTGACTAGGGAATTTCCCCTATTACCTTCTAGAAACCCTGAGATAGTCTAGAATAAGCAAATGTTTGCTTACAAATCCTTTACAAATCCTCCTAATTCTGATTTCTGAAATGGAGAAAATAAAAATTCCAGTTGCAAATTAACAGCTTAAATGCAGAGGAAAGGAAAAAAGATTAGGCAAAATGTAACAAGACAAACAGCTAAAATTTACTAGCAAAATCAAAACCAAGAAAGGCTCAAATACAGATAAGCTAGTTTAGTGAGTCCAGGAGCATGCTGGCTAATATAATGGCAACTTGACACAAGCTACAGCTATCTGAGAGGGAATTTCAATTAAGAAAATGCCTCCGTAAGATCTGGTTGTAGGGCATTTTCTTAATTAGTGACCGATGGGGGGAGGCCCAGTCCACTGTGACAGTCCTGGGCTCTATAAGAAAGCAGGCCTAGGAGGCCAGTAAGCAGCATCTCTCCATGGCCTCTGCAGTAGCTCTTACCTCCAGGTTCCTGCTGTGACTTCCCTCAGTGATGCACCTGTAAGTCTAAGCTGAAATAAACCTTTCCTCCCCAATTTGCTTTGGTGTTTCATCACAGCAATAACCCTAATTAGGACAGGAAATGATGTTCAGAGCTAAACCTTAATAGCCACTGTGACTAATCAGACTTTCTGAGCATAATCTTTATTTGTTATAGGAAGAAACAACCTACCGTTATATTTTCTAGATCAAGATGCTTATTGTGCACAGTTTCACAGAGTCTTCGGATTTTTTCTTTGATCTTGTTCATGTCTTTTTCATTCAGTAGCTTAGCTGAAGAAGCATCTTGTTCCAGTTCCAAGAGTCGAATCATGAGATCTAGGCTGGCCCTATCAAGATCCATGTTCAAACGATCTCTACTCAATATGTACATGAGAGCAGCTGTACAGAGGGACAAATTCTTCAACAGATCCCAAAAGAGAAATAATCATGAGAGCAATTACTAACAATTTTAGAAACCAAGGCTATTACTAACATTTGAAAGTTAAAATGTCTAAAATTCCTACTCTTTGATTCACTGTTCTTCCAAAATATCCTAGGAAAATAAATCTATTTGATAAATAGAACTCTGATTAAAAGTTTTCTTCAGAAGGGCAGTGGTGTTGGCAGACGCCTTTAATTCCAGCACTCGGGAAGCAGAGGCACATGGATCTCTGAGAGTTTAAGGCCAGCCTGGTCTACAGATTGAATTCTAGGACAGGTAGGACTGGAACATAGAGAAACCCTGTCTTGAAAACCCAAAAAAAGAAAGGGGGGGGAGGGTTTCCCTCCCCATCATCCTTCTCTAATGATTCAACTTCTCTATGTTCAACTATAATATAAAATCAACTACCCATTTCTTTGGGGAGCTTATAGAACATTTTTATGTATTATACAATATATATCTTTAATGTTCTTTGCAACATAAAGACATGTCAATTTTTGGTTCAAATATAGTAAAAAAATGTGTTTATAATTCATATCGAAACACATTTTTCCCTCTGTAGAATACAGACAACTGAGCTTACAACAATATACAGGGGGCTGAAATAAATTTAATTAGGGGGGCTGACAAGATAACTCAGCAGTCAAGGGCAAGCACAAACTGTTCTCCCAGGGTACCTGAGCTCTATTCCCAGCACACATACGGTAGTGATAGTTCATCCACTATGGTCTGTAACTTTAGTTCTAGGGAATCCAATGCTATCTTCTGGCCTCTGCAAGCACCAGGCATACACATACAAGCAAGGAAATAATTTTTTTAAAGGAAACAAATGTAACTGGACTAATTTCTTTTCTAAATATTTTATTCCAGTAACTTATTCTTTTAAATACAGTCTTATAATGTAGTTCTAATTGGTCTGGAATTCACTAAAGAGACTGGAGACCCACTTGTCTTTGCCTCCTGAGTACAGGGGTCAAATACAAGTGCCACCAGGCCTGAAAAGTCTTTGTCAGTTTTAGTACTGTATTTTGAGACATGGTCTCATCATGTAGCCTGGAACTCACGTGTAAAACCAGGTAGATCAGGGTAGCCTTGAACACACAGGGTTAAGCCTGATTCTGCCTCCCAAATGCTAGGATTAAAGTTGTTTTATTATTTTTATTTTGTTTTGTGATAGGATCTCATATAACCCAGGCTGGCCCTGAACTCATTATATAGGGGAGGATAACCTTGAACTTTTGGTCTTCCTTAAATGCCAAGGTTACAGGCCTGCATAATATCTATTTTTTTGCAGTGCTAGGGGTCAAACCCAGTGCCTCATGTTTCCTAAGCAAGGACACTAGCAACTGAGCTACATACCTCGCACCTAGTAAATAAAGCATCAAAAAAAAAAAAATATGTTCTTCAAATACTCAGGGTAGTATGTTTTAGATTAACATTAACAAAGTCAGTCTTTGGTAGACAAATGCCCTAAGAATACATGGATAGAAACCAAACTCAGATCCTTTACGAAACATCTCTTCAGGTCTCTTGATTTAAATGTTTACAAAGCATTTTTGGAAATTTGGATGCCACAGTAAAGACCTGAGACTCATGAAGAAAAGAATGTCTTTGGGCTATGCCTAACCGGATAATAAAGCAAACTATGCACTTCTTGTCTTTCTGTCCTCATTAGTCTGTGTCCAGTACAACCTGGGTACAGAGGAATGTTCTCACACTTTAATTACATTACTTTTGGTTTTAGAAAAACCACTATTAATTTTGTGTCACTCAATTTGTATTTATAAAGTAATTTTCTTTCATACAAGGCCACCTCAATATATCACTGCTAAGTTTGGTAATGACGATTTTGATGACACTGGAACTAACTTTGGTTAGGTAAGCTTTATTATTTATTCCTTTTTACAACAAAGCTATTCTCCAGATCTAACAATGAACCAAATATTTTAAAATCATGGCAATATTTCAAAACCCCTTTTCATACCATTAATATCAAACAGTATTAAAAGATTCTTCTGAATAGAGGAAATAAGTTTTATAGCATAAAATATTCAGCACAGTATGTTAATTAACAGATGAGATTTTTAATAATATAAACCTTTATATTACAAATAAAACAAAAACATTTTTAAGAAAAATGTCTCCAGAAAATACGATTTAAGAAGCAAAAACATATAGCTATAATCTCTACTTATCAAGCAAATAAATTCAATTTTTAATTCACTTATATGGATATCCAGTGAAGGTATTTTCTGATATAGTGAAAGACTATAATTTTTTACTAATAGCTCTCAACCTCAAACACTTAAAATACCTGGTGGTGCTGGGAATCATCCAAGGTTTTAAAGACCATTGCAACCATCCCATGTGCTCTCAGGTGCATTCGGAAACTGGGCATGGCACATTTAGTAGCTAAGCTAATAACACTAGAAGGAAACAGACTATGTTAGAACAGCTAAAAATTGCTAGGACATTAGCTGTAGTTTGCATAATTCCAAACAAGCAAATGAGAAGGAAGCAGGTTTAAAGTAGACAACACAAAATATAAAAAAACATGGCAAACCAAAATTTTAAAATATGTGACAAGGTTTAGAGTGTGATTGAGCACACTACCTTTATAAACATGAACAGCATGATATCTGTAGTGTATTCCTCAAGTCACTACAACCATTGAAATTGTAAAATTCTAGTTATCTTTCATAATACCACTATTATAGAAAAACTAGAAGTGATTACATTTGATAGGATATATTTCAACTGACTATAGAAAATACAAATCAAGTCAAGGTGTACAATCTATTATCATACATAAAAGATGACTCAAGTCTCTGCTCAAATCAATCTATCACTTGAAGTCTGAAATTTTGAGATAATTTTAAAAAACAAAACCTCAGATTCCTTAGTATACTTTTAGTCTTTTAGCATCTGGAAACTAAAGCCTATACTATATTTAAAAAGGGAACATTTAACATATCACTGATTATCAACACACAATTTTTTAAATGCCTAGCTTTACTAACAAATTTAAAGCCACGTAGGTGAAAAAAATTAATGACATAGCATACACAAAAATATAATGCAAAATTAAGATCTTACCTAAGGCAACGTGTGTTTAGAGGCTGAGTACTCTTTAAGCCACTTAACAAGTATTCAATGTCATCAGTGAACTCTTGATTTTCACCAAATTCCACCACATCATTGAAGTGCTTCACGTGCTGAACAACAGTATATAACTGCCAAGAAAAAATAAGCCCACCTCTTTTTTAACTATAAACTAGAATATTTAAATCTATAGGCTTACTGTATTTAATAAAAAAAAAAGCCTATACATTCATTTGATGTCCACAAAAATGTTTTTAAATCACCAGTACTAGTAGGTCAAGGTACGTTTGTGGTTCAAAACTCTGACTATCAGTGTAGTGATATCTGTTTAAGACAAAAGGCTATATGTTACACATAGAAATCTATCCACGTGCAGTAAAACTGTATATGGCCGCTTACTTCTTTGTCTTCTTTTCTGCATTTCAGTGCAGTAACTATATCTTGGTAGGGCTGAGTAGGTATTGTCACAGTTTTTATCACTTTGAGTGGTGGTGCAGGAGCCTTAAAAACTCCATCATCTTTTTGATTTGGTTCCTTTGAAGACAGCCTCACCTATTGATAAAGGTATTAAATTAGTTGTTCTAAGCAAATATTTTAAAAGGTAACATCTTGTCTATGTGACAATTTTAGCTTTTAAAAAGTAAATGAAATTTTTTCTTTTTTTTCCCAAAGGGAGAAGAGGGAGGCTGCTGAAAGGTCCTAAAAGGTAATTTAATTTAAATTCCATGCAATACTAAGACTTAAATGCTTCACACACAAAAGAACCACTTGAGAAATACTTCTAGCTTTTTTAAACTTCACATTTAACATCATCTGTTGCTTCCAGGACTGTTAAAAAAAAATAAAGAACCACAATTGCATGCATAAGTAGCATTGATAAGCAGTTAGACAGAGATCCAGAAAAACTATGGCAAAAGAATCATAAAAGCAAAGGAAACTAAAAGCAATATAAATCAAAAATACTATACGATGGTGACAACATAATCAATTTAAAGAAAAACCTATACTATGCTTTAGAAATATTTCTATTCTTGGAACTGAGGGTGAATATTTGTGTATGCATTGAGGGCCTTATTTAAAACTCTATCCCCAAATTTTTGTTAATGTTGTAATTCATTCCTTTGATAACTCCAGATGATGAAGGCTTCACTATTAAGCTAAGAGTCTTAATGTATAATACTACAAATCCCTTTCTTGAAAATACATTTTTTCAAGGAATGAGGGGTCCTCACTATGTACATGTAGGCCTTCAATTTGAGATCTGAGCCTCTTGGTTGCCTTTTGGGTATGTCACTAACCTAGGCAAGAATATTTTACAAAAATTTCAATTTGGAAAATATTAATGCAATGTAATATCATCTCTATGAAAAGCAAATTAAGATATGAAAGTCACTTAAAGATATACAAAGATTCAGGTAAAACATAAAGATAAAATAATTATTAAAAAAAACAGAGGCACCAAACTTTTTTTTAAAAATCCACTTTTTGTAGAATATAGCTTTTGGGGAAGGAGCTAGACTGGGTCTTGCTATGTAGCTCTTGTTGGCAATGAACTTGTGATGATTCTCCTACCTTCTTCCAACTGCTGGAATTAGAGGTCTGGGCTATCATGCCTAGCTTTATTTTAAGTTCTGAGGACCAAGAGGTTGGGGACAATGCTTATTTGGTAAAGTGCCTGTCATGCAGGCATAAAGACCTGAGTTTGGATCCTCGGTATATGTGCATAAAAATACATAAACCAATAACTGATACAGCAGCAAAGCAGAAACACCATAGCAGCAGTTTAGGGTGAAGATAAGTAGACCCTTGAAGCTCACTAGTCTAGCGGTACTAGCCAAATTCAATGAGACCCTTTCTCAAAAAATTAGGAAAAGAGGGCCAGTGAGATTACTTAGCATGTTAAAGGTATTTAACAAGCAAGTCTGACAACCTGAGCTTGATTCCCAGAACCCACATGACAGAGGACTCTTACAAGTTGTACACACACAGGTACACACATCCACACAAATACATGCATAATACCACACACGCAAAGGACCCATACTAATACTTCATATAAGGAGTAATTTTTCTTAAACCCTAAATATTATAAATTCTATGAAACATCAGTCATGATTAAATGCTTTGCTTTAGTTTTTTCTTGTTGTTCTATTTCTAAAATGGGGTCTCAGTATGAAGCCTAGCTTGACCCTGAACTCCTCCTACAAAGTTTTAATTTGTAAGGCTTTTCAATTATAACCTTGAAAGAACAAAAATTAAGATAGTAACTATCTAGATTAACTTATAAATTGTTTTAAGAGAGAAAAATAAAAAGCTTTACTTACTGTGACACTCTGAGGTTTTACTACCGGTGGTCCAGGCAGTTCTTCTGAGTCTGGGTGATTCCAATGCCTGGCATTATATACAGCTTTTGTAGGTGACTAGTGAAATAAGAAAAAGATCAACTGCTTCCATCTCACTTTGTATCCCTTACAAAAAGGTGTCAATTTATACAGAATAACTGAAGTGCATAAACATACATCTTAGACCAAAAAAGATGTTTTTGTCAGCCTATGTCAGACATAATCACTTTGGTATTTAGCATAAAATTGGCAACTGCTCTTCTGTGCAACCAATCAACCATAAGAAGAAAGCATGTGAAACTCTAACAAGCACATAGATTATACAGAGATTGTCTAAGAAGAATATAAAGCACAAAGAGCTAGTTTGTGCTTCATCTACTCTGTGTACATGGATCGGGTCATTGTGTGAGTTCATAAATTACTTAGAAATAAGAAATGAGATATCACTTAATGCAAATCTACTTCCTAAAAGTAATAGGAATAGGAAATATTGGCAAAGTACTTTATTGGGGATGAAGAAATAGCTCACTGAATACAAGTTCTAGCAGTGCCAGAATGACAACTGGAGTTAAGTTTATGGAACCCACATAAAAAGCTGCATGTGGGAAGCATGCATCTGGAGTCCTAGCACTTCTATGATAAGACAGAACTGCCCAGAAAAGCTTTGGAACCAGTTAGCCTAGAGCATGTGGCACTGCAGTAGCAGGAAAAAGATCTGTTTCAATAAGGTAGAAGGCAAGAACCAACTCAGAAGTTGTCCCCATGACATCCACAAATGCACCTTAGTATGTATGTGCCTACACTCTCACACATATTAACATACAGGAAAGATAGGTAAATGAATGTTTTTTAAAGTAAATGTTTTGAAAGTCTAGTATTTAATATATTTAATTCAACATGCTAATGAGCAAAACTTTTTCCTCATACTAGTCATTCTTGCTACATAATTTTCTAACAATAGAAATTGAGCAGTTTGTGATAGGCAGAAATAAGTTCCATACTCATTTCAGTGAAACCACTAGAGCCACTAGATTGAAAACTGATCAGATTTTATAAAGGGAGCTGTGTACTACCTCAAAGATACAATAGAGTCTAAAGAAGTTCAGGTAATTAACAATTGTGAATTCTGTAGCAAAAATATACAAAATATTGAATGTTTCATAAAGATATGAATTGTCCTGAATACAGGTCACTGTGCTGCTCAATTTATTTAAAATGAGGAAAGTCTCTCAATTTTAACAGTCTGAATTTCAGAACCATGAATAACGAACCAGTAAATGCAAACCCATAAGATTAAATCTATATTCTATATTTTAATATTTAAAATATTATATTTTAATATACATTTAATATATTATAAATTTAATATTTAAAATCTATATTTTACCTTCAATCTGACACCAATTTTTGTCGTTGCAAACCTCAAATTTCTGATCTGACTAGTGATTGTTTATGATTGCAATCTTTCTATGTTTTACTGTAACACACACAAAATAAAGAGTATTTGTACAAAAATCTACTTCAAGAATGGTCAAATATTCCTGTTCCCGTTACTCTTATGAACTAGATTTTTATAAAGTAATTATTCATAATGATATCTAAAGAAATTATGAACTCATGTAATGACTTGATCAGATTTTCTGGGTCACATGTGCACAATGTGGCTTTAATATCAATTCTAAAAACTAGTCCTCTGCTCATGTTCATCTTAGACAACCACTATACAATCTGTGTACCTGCTAATTATTAAATAGTTGATTCAAGCAACCTCTAAAATACCTCAAGTACACTCAAGACCCAAGCTATGATTACAGGCTTTGGTATAAATCTGTGTCCTGGGTTGGAAGGGTGGCTGGCAGAGCACCTGCCCAGCATGCACAAGGCCCCTTGTTCCATATCTGGCATTGTAATAAAGTCAGAAACATAGAAAAGTGCTTCAAAATGCAAACATCCTACTGATTTTGGTTTGTTTTTAAATTCTTTTGTTTATTTTGTGAGAATTGGTGTTTTGCCTGCTTGTAGATCTGGGTACCACAATTGTGAGTTACAGAGAGTTGTGAGCTGCCTTCTGGGTGCTGGGAATTGAACCCTGGTTTTTTGAGGAGCAGTTAGTGTTCTTACCCACTAAGCTATATATCTTTCCAGGCCCAAATTCTATTTCTTTTAAAAATGCACTGACTCTAGCAAATAATTTTAGGGGTAAGAAAAGGGCTAGTTCTCCATAGAACAAAACAGGGTAATGCAAGGTTCTTAACTAAAACACTGTAAGAGCAGGCAAAACACTAATTACTATATTAAGCACTAAATATTACCAATAGATATTTAATGCTGGCCTATACTAGCACCTTCAAATAAATAAACAAACAAACAAATAGAAGAAGGAGGGAAGGTGGGAGGGAGTAGTTTATCAACTATACAGGGACTCAACCAACAAAAGGAAAGCTGGCATTGAAACATTCTATAGTAACAATTTGGAAAAACCAGGCAGTGGTGGCACACACCTTTAATTCCAGCACTGGAGGCAGGCAGATCACTGAGTTTGAGACCAGCCTGGTCTACAGAGTCAGTTCCAGAGCAGCCAAAGTTGTTATACAGAGAAACCCTGTCTTGAAAAACCAGATTATTTATATATAGATAAATGTGATGGCTGCTATTATCAACTTGGAAAGATCTAGGATCACCAGGAAAGCAAGCCTCTATGCATGTCTATCTACAGGGAGTTATGCAATTAGAGGTGAAAAGACCACCTTGAATATGAGCAGCACAATTCCAAGGGCTGGGGTTGAGGACTACATAAAAAGGAGGGTGAGCTGAGCACGGCACTAACCATCTCTGCTTCCTGAATGGGTATGCAGTGTGGCCAGCTGCCTGCTGCCAGGACTTCCTCATCATGATGGATTGATTGATTATACCTTCAAAGTTGCTTCTTGTTGGGGATTTTCTCACAATGAGAAAAGTCTCTAATACACTAATACATTTAGCATACAATTTGACGAGTCCATAATTTTAAAGATTTTGATGTTTACCACTTTAATGTAAAGTAGTATAAAGAAAAATCTTATCAGAACTTTCCCTTGACATTTATTTCCAGATCTTACAGTTATAAGGCTTTACAATTTTTAGATTTATGTGTATGTATTAATGTTTTGCCTAGGGCCCATGGAGGGCAGAAGAGGGCATCAGATGTCATGAAACTGGATGGCTGTGAGCCATCATGAAACTATTAAGCCATCATCTCTCTGACCAATTAATTACAAGGCTTATTAAAGAGAAAGACAGCTACTAAAATTACATGTACTTAAATAACATACAGGTGATAGGGAAGGAGGGAGGTTAGGAGAAAGGAAAGAACACTAAATTGATCCTGAGCTCAAAAGGGCATTCGAAAAATGATACAAGAAAAGCCAGGGGACAGTGTGGCACACGCTTTTAATCTCAGCACTCAGGAGGCAGAGGCAGATGGATCTCTGTGAGTTCGAGGCCAGCCTGAGCTACAAGAGCTAGTTCCAGGACAGACTCCAAAAGCTACAAAGAAACCCTGGCTCAAAAAAAAAAGTTACAAGAGTACTACTTGCTCAAATGTGAATGGTGTATATAAACAATGTATCATCTGATGTCACATTCTAATTTTACATAATAAAAGTGACTTGCAGAATAACTAAAAATGGGTCTTAAAAAGAATAGCTACAGAGCATTAGCTTTTCATGAAAAATAAAAATCACGAATATCAAGTAAAAATTTAGCCAAGTCTTAATTAGATCATTCATACTGTACAACCAAGGTTATTGTTATTCTCTTCTTTTTTTCAAATTCTAAAAGCAGATACACAGCACATTTATCAATTTTTTAAAATTATTGTTTTTATTGAGCTATATTTTTCTTTGCTCCCCTCCCTTCCTGTCTTCTCCCATGATTCCCACCCTCCGAATTTACTCAGGAGATCTTGTCTTTTTCTATTTCCCATGTAGATTAGATTCATGTATGTCTCTTTTAGGGTCCTCTTGGTTATCTAAATTCTCTGGGATTGTGAATTGTAGGCTGGCTTTTCCTTGCTTTATGTCTAAAAGCCACTTATGAGTGAGAACACATTATCAGATTTCATAACTTTACTCTTTGTTAGACAATTTATGGCTTCTGTTTGCTCTGCAATCTAAAGAGAAGAAAACTTAGAACAAACAGTGAAGAGTTCTCCTATGAATATGCTAACATTCTAAAGATCTGAAACCAGGTAGTCATATTTCAGACAGTGTTCTTACAACATCCTATATTCGTTCTTGGTTAGTTCTCCAGGAGTATAAGCAATAAACAAAAATTTTACATGCAATAATTAACTACACTTCAGGAAAAACTAACCCAACAACTAACCCATATATTTATACATGAGTGACAGTTTCAATGAAAATATAAATAAAACTTTTTTTGATGACAATGTCAATAGTGTGATTTAACACACAGTTTCACTGAGTTACAATTATAAATTATAAGAAAGTAAAGTTGAGGGGTTGGAGAGATGCCTCAGCAGTTAAGAGAATTGGCTGTTCTTCCAAAGGACCTGAGTTTAATTCCCAACACCCACATGGCAGCTCACAACTGTCTGTTATTCCAGTTCCAGGGGATCCAACACACAGATATACACATGAAGGCAAAACACCAATGCACATAAAATTAAATTGTTTACAAAAGAAGAAAGTAGAGTTCATTCCTGAAGAGCAAAGAATAAGAGTATTCTGCTATTTTCTATTGTGTTGACTTCTAAAAGTGTTGGGGGGGTGTCACCATTTTATAGCATGATTTTTATTTTAATAAGACTAAATTCATGAGTTCTAAATAATACTATAGTAAAGACAAAAGCAGAAACTATACTTCACCCAGATTTATCCACTAAGACTTTATGAACACAGCAATATATTCCCACCAGTAATTCAATCAGCATGAGTCCTTTTAAGAAATGTTCAAAGTACTGCACTATATGACTGTGTCTGTCTGGGTATAATGCCTTAGTAGCAAAGAAAAGAGAAAGAGAAGAGAAGAAGAAAAACATAAAGTCAACACATTAGAGGATGTCTAATAAACAGAAA